TTCTACACGTATCTTTTACTCACAGTGATTGTCCATAAAGCGTGTTTGTCGTGTTCATGTCAAATTAAACTGATCACAAGACACAGATTTACTTTATTGGTTTCGTTTTCCTCATCCAAACCCCATAAATCCCTGTGTGTCTGCAGCACTCCTGAAGGACAACAGGCAAACCAAGACAAAAAAGTCTGACATGTTGTGTAAAAACTGCTATTCTTAGCATATATTTTGGGTCTGACGTGTTGCTACCAGACGTACAGTGTGAGCAGTCAGGTCGCATCCGATTACTGGGTTGTACAGTGTGAACACATCGTGAGATCTGCCCTGCGAGGAAGCCGTAGGGTTTGAGCTGAAGCTGAGTGCTATGAGTGAAAAAGTCGCACAGTGTCCGCCCAGCTTAATGCATCTTGATGTTCTTAACAAATAAATTCAATCAAAGATATTGGTCAGTAATGCCAAATATTTAAATGTTGTGTTTCAGTCATTTTTATACTGGCCTAAAAATACTTCATTAAGTCTACTAAGCAGGGGTGTAGAACGTGTTTAATCGGGCCAGCCCAGTAATGATCTTGGACCAAAATAAAGGGACAGAAAGTCAAATAAAGGGGGGCAGAAGGAGATGTTTTTCCAGACGACAAGAAAAATTAAATGCCAAATCCCCCCTGCAAAGTGAGTCACTGAGAGTTTAAAACAGAAATTATTCTTGTGCAAATATTGGTGTATTCACCATTAATACTAGTTATTAAAATGCAGCAGTTGCTGGATTGGTGCAGTTCAAAGTGGAGTGTGTCCAATAAAACAATATTAACGTAAAGGTGAGACTTTTCATACTCTTCTTTGAAATGAAACACTGAATGGTGTATATTTTGGTTGTTGAATAAGCAAAGATTCCTTTAACTTCTGATTCAATACATAAACTTTTGCTATTAAATTTAATTATCTTAAATTAAACATTAATCTTTGGATTAAAATATAGCCCAAGACAGTTAGTGTATGAATTTCTATTGATTGCATTAATATCCTAGATATTTGTGCACAATATAAGTGCATACGCTAATGTCCGATCTTTTCTCAGGATCTAACCAAACTGAAGCAAACAGTGTTAAATCCTAGTATGTAGATTAACCCCGCTACAGATGTCTGGGATTCCCCTGGATCTGTTACCATGCAGCCAGCCTTGGCTAAGAAGCAGAAAGTAGATGGATGGGTTGTATAAAGTACCCATATGTCTTCTCTTTAGTAGACAGTGGACAGAGCTTTCAATTGCTTGTCTACACAAATATCTAACCAGCAAAGTGCATGACATTGATTCAACGTATTCATATATTTAGACATGGTGAAAACAATTAGCTGAAGTTCAAACTGAGCATCAAATGGAGATTTAAAGGTGTAATAGCAAATTTGGAAAACAAACTTGATTAAACATTTTTTGTCTAAACTACGTTCTAACATAGTGTAGCTGTTCATATATGGCTCTAGTTTTGTGTCATGCTGTCATGTTAATGTGGACCTAAACCTCTGAGGAAGGTTTTCAAGCACCTTGTTGAATCTGTGGTTTGAAGGTGAAAGGGGTCCAGTCCTAATGAGGGTAAACAATGCACATGGTGAGACATGAAAAACAACAGATTAAGATGGGCAAATGTTCATTAAATGTAATGGCATTAATGGAGAAAATCAGTGTCCTGAAACAGCTGTCTCACTCTGTATTGTCTTATCCTGAAGCTCTTGTGTGTTACTGTCTGACAGCAGGGGTGCTAGGCCTTGCAGTTTTTCTGCTTCTTTGTCTTTTAATGATTGTAGCTTAGTGCTGATAATGCTCTTGCATTATGGTTCTACCACACACACACACACACACACACACACACACACACACACACACACACACACACACACACACACACACACACACACACACACACACACACACACACACACACACACACCTGTCTTTTTATTATAGTGAGGACCTCCATTGACTTCCATTCATTATTGTGAGTCCACTATGCCTAACCGCTACCCCAACCCTAACCATAACCAATGCTGATCTATTCCTAACCTTAACTAAAACTTAACTCACACCATACCTCTGAACTCTGTTCAGCTGTGACTGGTTATTGATCTTCTGTCACTGGTCCCTGAAAATGTTGTTTTAGCTCCATATAGTATGAAGCTGCGATCCATTTGTAGCAGTTGGCAGCTGTGCCTGTGGGCCTGTGCTGGCATCTGCTATCCATCTTAGCCCATCCCATCTTCTCACTCCTGATACAGATGATAGCTCATGAGGTATTGATTGCTGCCCGTGGATCAATGAAGCTGGTATGTGACTGGAACTGGACGGACAAAAAAAGAATTCTGAAGGCATTAAACATGCTAATTCATGCTAAATATTAGAAGGTTATGTAATTTATTATGCAAATGGTTTTGACCTGTTTTGGTCTGGATCTGAAAGTCCCACATGATCTTGGTTCTTTCCACCACCTCCACCAGCAGGCAAGGTGGGTTAAGTGTCTTGCCCATGGACATCCGGAGCCAGGATCGAACCTGCAACCTTCCGATTACTGGACAATCCACTCAACCTGTTGAGCTACTGCTGACTTGAGGGGATGAATCCCAGACTGCTCAAAGACTGTGCGGACCAGCTTTGTGAAGTGGTCACACACATGTTCAACCTGTGTTAAAAAGTCTCTGAAATACAACAAACACATTATAAACACAACGGTAAATGCACTGTACTTGCAACACTCCCCAGGTGACAGAGAAGTCTGAAGGCAAAATGTATCCATCAATGTGTGTGTGACTTTCCCTCATGGTGCTAAAGTTAAGAGGAAAACATTGCACTATTCTAAAGTGGCCTTCTAGAAGCCCTGACCTCAATCCTATTGAGCATCTTTGGAAGGAGCTGAAACATGCCATCTGGTAAAGGCGCCCTTCAACCCTGAGACATCTGGAGCAGTTTGCTCATGAGGGGCGGGCCAAAATACCTGCTGACACATGCAGAAGTCCCGTTGACAGTTACAGCAATCATTTGATTGCAGTGATTGCCTCAAATGGTTGTGCAACAAAAAAATTTGTCCAAGCCTGTTCCATAAATTTTGTTTTTTAAATAATTCAGTTGAAGCAAAGCAAGGTCTGACTTTCATTCATTAAATTTCATGGAATTTTTATTTATTTTTACTTTTGTCAGTTTCAAGTAATTTCTGTGACCACTGGGTTAGGGTCAGGGTTTTTCGTTCATTGACCGAAGTGTACCAACAATGTTATCCACATCTATTTAAACCAAGTGGTGTCTCTTTGGCTGCAAACATTGTGATTCCTAGTAGATATTCTGTTTCATAACCAATAAACCTTATTGTCTTGAGTGAATCTGTAATTAATTCAACAGATGAACTAGTAGTAGCATATTCTGTGTTAAAGAAAGTAAAATGTTATTATCAGAAGAGAGAGAATGTCTAGTGGTTGGCAGCAATGTGCCAGCCAGTGGCCCCCCACTAGCTCAGCAGAGTGTAGCGTGGCTTATTCTGGGGGAGAAAAACACTTAGAGAGAACATAAAGTTAATAGTTGAAAAAATGGGAAATAATGCAACTGGAGAGTAGTGGTAGAAAAGAGTAGCAGAGTGTGGAAAGTGGTCTGTGAGTCCTCCAGTAGTCCAAGCCTATAGAATCAAAACTACAGAAATAACTCAGGATAACCTAGCTTTTTAGATGGAGGCATGTTGGAGACAAGGCCAGGGGGACCTGTCTTTACTGTCTGTATTTCCTGCAGTACACTCCGCCTCCCTCTACTCCCCCACTCGACCACACCTGGGCTAACATCATTCAGAATTTAAACATCAGCCCTTTCAAATAAAACTGTTTTAAGCATAGTCCTAAAAGTAGGCAAGTGTCTGACTCACAGACTAAAGCCGGGTGTTGGTTCCACAGGAGAGGAGCCTGATGACTAAAAGATCTGCATCCCATCATATTTTAAATATTCTAGGAACCACCAGTAAACCTGCAGTCTGAGAACTCTGTTTGGATTATATGGAACAATCAGATCACTGATGTATGATGGTACTTATTTATTAAGAGCTTTATATGTGAGAAGGAGGATCTTAAAATCTATTCTGAATTTAACATGCAGTCAATAAAGGTAAGCTAAGGCAGGAGAGATGTGGGCTCAGGTATGTCCTCTGGGCTGGCTCATTTGCATTCATACGTTGGTGGCTATCAGATGCTGGGGTTGGTCTTATGGTCATAGGGGTTGGATGCTGTGTGAGATGGGTGCATCAGGACAAAGAAAGACCATGCAGGCAAGAGCTGTGCTGATCCCTAGTGATGGAGCAGGAGACGTGTGCCTCTGGACCCAGTGAACTATGTCACTTGGTACCTGGACATATGCTCTAATCCGTGTGGATCCTGATGGGCTTTCTGTCAAGAATCATAGACTGGTGTTGATGACAAGTCAGGGGCCAAGATGGTAAAGGTGCTGGGGCCTTTCCTTGGAGCAAAAAGACCTACTGATTCAGTTATCCCAAAAACAACACAAAACAAAACAGAACCTTGGCCTAGGTCACAATATGCTGAGTCACTTTCAGGACCTTCCAAATTTGAGACTTTTGATCCTTTCCTCCTGCTCAGCCAAAGTTTGGCCAGAGTATTTTCTCCTAGCAGCCTATGGCGGAGAAGTGCAAATAGTGGAATTAATTACAACTCAGAAAACCGTGGTGAATAACGATGAGTAAACAAAATATATGCGAAAAAAACCAGGGGCTGTTGGAGAAGTCAGATCATGGAACGTGAGCAGTGAACAACACCAACGGACCTGCAGGGCTTTGGGCGTATTCTGCTGCTGTGAGCCTTTATTACCGTGTCCAAGTCATGTAAAGGTTGTTTTAGCACAATAAATCACTTTGAGCATCTTCACCTGTAGTTTTTTTTTTTACTTTTAATATTTTGGACATTATTAAACTATGTTTCACGTTTTCAATCTTAAGTCACATCTGACATTTTCACAAAAAACAGCGTTTTTATTTTTGTTTAATAAATGTCTTTATTTGGCTTTGAGAGGAACATCACTCCATGAAACAGCAGCATGTACAGTCACAGTCGTATTGCAGAAAACTCTGGAAAGTGTCAGGACTCCTCCATCTAACCAGGAGGAAGTGAGATGTGGGTGGAAACATGTCTTATTTTAACTTTCATTCATGGTTAAGGCAAGTTTTTTTTGTTTGTTTTGATTTTATTTGAGCACACAACAAGCAAAAGTATCTCATCCAGCAAATATTCAAGCTCCAGATGTCAGGCCATGCATTCAAACCTGTCGCTTGATTCATTTGTCAAAAAAATGTACAAGACGGAGAAGGACAGATGAAGAATCGCAGGAGTTAAAGCATCTGAGAGAAACGTGGTGGATGGGAACGGAGAATATAGCCCTTAGTTACAACTCATTATAACCCATCAGCTGTCTGACCATCACCTCCTCTACATCTAAATTCATTAAGAGACCACGGCGTTGAATGAGAGAGAAAGTAAATAAACGAGGTTTCTCAAAATAAATAAGGTGCATGGAAGTTCTTTGACAAATGAATCAACAGAATCAAGGGATTGGTTATATTTCCCCCAAAATTACACATAGCAGTAACTACCACTCTACAGTTTTCAGTCACAAAGATGCATTTCTACATAAAGGAGAGACAGCTCGTCTCCATCCCAACAGCTGAAAAACACTTCATTTATGTTTGCACACAGATATTAGTTTTTTTCATTTTCTCTCCCATTAAGTGCTGCAATTAAACAAAAGAAAGTGGTCGGAGACGAGTGACCTGCCGGGAGAACGATGGTGTTAGAATTACAGTTCACATCTTTTTTCATCCTCCCCAACTTTTATATGTAAAAATCAAATAGCACCATAAAAGTGGGACTAGCTGTTACTCGTGCTCCCAGGTCTGTGCGTTATTTTTCTAAGTCTGTGTGCTGATATTAGTTATGTTCAAGTTGTGATTGCTCTTAGTGTGAAAATGGATCGTTAATGGCACATTTACTGTTGACAGGAAGCTTTGCTCTCGTCTGGCTCTCTGCTCTGAGATGAAAAATCACCATCGTGACTGTCTGCTGAGTTTGGTGAAGATCTGAACTCTACTGTTGCTGGGGACCACTTTCCCATTCTAAAGCCACTTCTTCATCTGAACTAATAACATCTGATTTGCAGAGCGAACAGCAAACAGGAAAAACACAGAAGGCGTGAGGCATCTGGAGTGCACAGGTGTGTTTGTGAGTGTGAGACACAGATGTGGTGAACAGGAACCAGACCCGTGAGAGACAGGTGGGATGTGGAATGACATACTGATGACGACACAAGCTGTTTAGCTCTTGTTCTTCCCATTAGAGCTCTCCTTCGCTTTCCCCTTGTCCTCCTTTTCCTTTGGCTTCTCCTCCTCCTCTTCTTCTTCTTCTTCATCTTCTTCTCCCACCTCCTCCTCTTCTCCATCACCTTCACCTTCCTCCTGCTCCTCTTCACCCTCCTCTTCTCCCTCCTCTTCTTCTTCTTCCTCCTTCTCTTCCTCCTCTCTTGCCTCCTCTTCCTCCTCGTCAGGCTTGGGCCTCCTGTAAGCTCCGAGGGAGTAGGTGCGTGCTGATGTGTAGGACAGGCCCGGATAGCCGGACTGGACCATGACTCCGCCCACAGAGCTGAGACGGCACTCCTCGCCTTCCAACAGCTTCCTGCATAAACAAACAAGCAAAAGACATCTGGATTCCAAAAGTTTTAAATCAGATCACTTTATTATTTGCAGGGACTCAATCTTTCCTGTTTTTAAAAAGGAATCTCCCGACAACCGACTAGATGCAAAACCAGAAGACGTTAATGATCATGACTTTTTTAACAAACCTGTAGGCGGCGATCTCGATGTCCAGAGCCATCTTGACATTCAGCAGGTCTTGGTATTCACGCAGGTGACGACTCATCTCTCCCTTGGTGCTGTGCAGCGCGGCCTCCAGCTGCTGAATAGTATCCTACAAACACATTATATTATAAAACACCATCTATCAGTCTAATGTAATGTGGCCAGTAGGTGTACAGCACCTTCTAGAGTCCTACAACCCCCCGAGGTGCATTACAACACACCGGCCATCCACGCCTTCACACACTGATGGTGATGAGCTGTAGGTAGGCTGCTGTACACAGGCACCACCGGCCCCTATGACCACAACCAGCAGGCAAGCAGGGTGAAGCAGGCTGGCCAAGGACACAGCTGCCACAGACTGAGCAGGGCATGAACCTGCAACCCTCCAGTTATGATGCGGGCACTTAACAGCTCAACTAAATGCTGCCTGCAAAGACTTTATGGTGCCTTCAAGCAACCTTCAAACTTACCAAAACTTATAAAATTCAAATCTGTAGCCCTTGAGTCATCTATGGGCCATTCCCATCTGTACCGAGTCGGCCCGGGCCGGGTAGCCCCAGTCGGCCCCAGCCTGGCCCGGTTGATTCCACACATCCTTGCCTTAAGCCCATGTGGGCTGATTCTGCCCACCAATCAGAGGCTTGCTCTAATGGAAGGTGTGAATTTGCTGTCAGCAGTGGGTGTGTTGGCCCTGGTCGGCCTGAAGCAGACCCCCTCGAGAAGAGGGCTGAGAATGAGCCTTGGTTGGCCTGGAAAAATACCAGGCCACCCAGATATGTAAACAACCTACGCTACCCGGCCCGGGCCGACCCGGTACAGATGGGAATGGCCCATTACTTACTTGCATTTCTCCAATCTCATTGTTGTGGCGATCTTCCATCTCAGCAATCTGCCTCTCCAGGGCTTCATTGTGGCTCCTGAGGGCCTCAATCTCCAGAGTCCGGGCCTGCACCTGCCTGCGGTACTCGCTCAGCTCCTCCTTTGAGTGCTTGATGGCATCCTGGTTGCGTGCAGCAGCCTCGGTCACGGTGGCAAACTTGGAGCGGTACCAGTCCTCTGCCTGCGCCTGGTTCCTGGCTGACAGGTTCTCATACTGGGCTCGGATGTCCTTCAGGGCTGCAGCCAGGTCTGGTTTGCTCATGTCCATCTCCACAGAAACCTTGATGCAGCAAAGAATTTCCCCCAAAAGAGGAAGGAAACAAAGTTGTTTCATTAATTCCATGCTGAAGTCCTAAGATGTTCAAAGTTGTTTCATTATCTTAAATATTTGCCAGTCTCTGTTGTCACTGACAGAAAACACAAGGTAGATTTCAAAATGACCCAAATGAAGGATCCTCTGCGTGAGAAACTGAGATGTCTGGTTGAGATGATAGGATACCTGAATGTTTGTGATTTATGAGGTGAGCTGATGAACTGACATTGAGTCCAGTGAGCTGTTCCTGGACTGACACATGGCCTGCTGACTCAGACTTCTCAGCAGCAGAAAGCTGTGCTGTTGGAGTCTCGCGTGCACCCAAGAGAAATCTACCCAGCAACCAGCAACATTAAACAAACCATGCAAGACCTGCAAGGCAAATACTTGAAGTTAAGAGTTGGAGGTTTGCTTACAACAGTCACTCATAATAACTTAGAGATGCTCCGTTTATCTAGAATTTGCTGCTTTCCTCACCGCAGTTTGTTCTGCTGCTGTCGCTCACATGGACCCCTTGGATTAAAAAATAATATTAGTCGGCATTTTCTCACTCTCTGCCCTTCCTCCTCACCCAGAATGACATCATCTATGTCTGGTCATCTTACTGAGAGTAAAAAACTGCATAACTCTGATTTTTTTGTTTTATTCTGCTTGATATGTGAGAAACAAATGAGGGAGTAAAGGAAAGGCACTGTCCTAAACTCCTCAATGCTGGGGGGGGGGGGGGGGGGGGGGGGCGCTGCTGCAGGGACTCTCGTGGGACAGCGCGTGGTGCTGAAACGGAACTGCAGTGCCATCAATTTTCCAGTGCGCAGTGCCCGGTTCGTGAGGACTCAGAATGACGCATCAAACCCCGAAAGAGTCGAATCAGTCGGCTGGTTCGTGTGAAAACGGACGGTGGTCTGACTGCTGAGGCTCAAGGGAGACGTTAGTGACTGAAATCTGCAAAAAGCACCAACTTTATAGCATCTTACTGAGGTGTGCGTGCGTGCGTGCGTGTGTGTGTGTGTGTGTGTGTGTGTGTGTGTGTGTGAGAGAGAGAGAGCGAGAGAGAGAGAGAGAGAGAGAGAGAGAGAGAGAGAGAGAGAGAGAGAGAGAGAGAGAGAGATCACCTGCGTGGCCTGCAGGGACGCCTGCAGCTCCTGCACTTCCTCCTCATGAACTTTCCTGAGGAAGGCGATCTCGTCCAGCAGTGACTCCACTTTCTTCTCCAGCTCCAGGCGCGCGAGCGTGGCGTCGTCCACGTCCTTACGGTAGCCCTTCAGGGCGTTCTCCGCCTCCTCCCGCAGCCGGCTCTCCTCCTCCAGCTTCTCCCTCACGCGCTCCAGCGTGTCGTTCATCTGGACACAGTCCATGTGCATCTGGCTCTTCTCGTGTGTCAGCTCTTCCACGCGTGCCCGCAGCTCGCGGATCTCCTGCTCGTACAGCTCGTGCAGGCGCGAGGGCTCACTGTTGCGCTGGCGCAGCAGCGTGACCTCGGCTTCCAGAACTTTGTTCTGCTGCTCCAGATTATGAACTTTCTCGATGAAGGACACAAAGCGGTCGTTGAGGCCCTGAAGTTGCTCCTTCTCGTTGGTCCGGATGATTTTGAGCTCATTGGTGACGGCGGTGGACTGGGTCAGGTCCATGGCGGAGTCCGGGATGGAGAAGACTCGACCGGGTGCCGCCGTCCGGCGGTAGGTGGTGGAGGAGACCACGGAGGGGGACCCATAGGTGCGGTGGCTGCTGCGGTACACCGTGGAATGCGGGCGGGACGGGCTGCTGCTGCTGCTCAGACCCACGCGTCCGGACCGGGGGGCATCTCCAAAAATCTTCCGATAGGAGCTGCTGCTGTAGATGTCGCTGGAGTAACTCATGGTTCCTTCACCCAGGGGAGTCCGGCCTCAGCTTTACAGGAGAGAGAAACGAGTATGTGTGTGTGGAGTTCAGGAGTGTGTGATGGTGAGTGCGCGAGAGGAAGAGAAAGTGAGATGCGAGTGATGCCTGGCCAGGACAGGTGCTTTTATAGCCAGTGCGCCGCGGTGCATCATTTGACGCAGCAGCAACAGAGGATGAGGGTAAACCTGCAGGTCCAGCAGAAAGCCTCCACCCTCCTGACACCAGCTCACTCATGCAGCTCCGTTTAGTCAAGCATAGACACAACACCTCCTTAGGATCACCGAGTTGCGTGGTCACCATCATCAACATTTAGCGCAGTAGTCAAAAAATTTACGTTTATTAAGATTCAAATGAAAACAAACACAATCCCGGGGTGAGTGTCACTCATCAGTGTCTCGTGTTTCCTCAGTTGGTCTGTTCTGTCATTGCAGTTTTCCTTTGCTGTTGCAGCAGAATTACAGATGAGATCGATGTGCAGAGAGGGTGGAGGTGCTGCAGTCTGCATCCAGCTGCCCTCAACTCCGCATTAAGGGATGTGACGGGATGTTTTAAATTTGCTGCGTTTATCTCAAAGCAGAAACATCATAATGAAGTTCAACCCACTCCAGATGCTGATCTAGTACGGATGAATTTATTTCCTGCGTGAGTTAGGTGGGTTTGGACTGAGTGCTGCGCTGGCCTTGGTGCTGATTCAGACAGAAGCCAGAACCACGCCCTTGTCAGGGAGAACCCCCACTCAGGAGACTGCAGCCTCGCCACCTCCAAACACCCACCAAGGCGCCTCCAGAGTTGTTGAACACATCTCCTGTCTGGCGTTCAGCCCAAACAATAAACATCTGCAACAACTCTGTTCCCAACTCATCATAAATGAAGTTCTATCGAAGAACATGCTTGTGTGCTTCAGAGCTACATGGATCATTAAATTCTAGTTCGATCTGTAACACACACACACACACACACACACACACACACACACACACACACACACACACACACACACACAAACACACACACACACACACACACACACACTTGTCTCTGTATCCTTGTGCGAACCATCCATTGACTTCCATTCATTTTTGGGACTCCATGCCTAATCCATACCCTAACCCTACCCAACGCTGTTCTATTCCTAATCCTAATCTAAATCACGAGTTAATTCACGCCCTACCTCTAAAACTACGTTTGAGAGTATTTTGTCATTGTGTGGACCAGCCAACAGTTTCCACAATGTGGAAATGTCAACAACACTACATGTTAAAAGTTCTAATTTGTTGAAACACACACACACACACACACACACACACACACACGCACGCACGCACGCACGCACGCACGCACACACACACACACACACACACACTAATGTCGAAGTAAAAGAAACAGCAGACTTGTGGCTACAGATAACACAACTACACTATAACCTCTAGGGGGCAGTAGAAAGCCACAATTCAAACGTTTTGAAGTCACAACAAGGAATTTCAGTGTAAAAAACATTACTAAGAAACTTTCTACAAAATGGTCTGTAATGCAGAAACACAAGGTGTTTGAATGCTATAAAGCTCTGGTATCCAGGAATGGTTATGCCCTTAGTGCACTAGTACTGGGACCAGAGTGAGTAGGGTGTGTATGGGGAGTGTGAGTGGGTGTATGGCGTACATTCTTGTGTGTCTTTAGGTTTAATGTGGTTATGTGTGAGCATGAGGGAAGGAGTGTGTCAGATGGGGTCTTGGACTCCTTCCCTACATCTTGTGGTAAGTGTGGGAGCGGGACTTCTGGACTTCCCTTTCCTACAAGTTTTGTCAGTTTTGCAGCCCAACCTTGATGAGGGTAAAGGGGTGGATGCATAGCATTCACTTGTTCTTGCGGCTTCTGTAGAGACAAAGTGTTACTGACCTTTCTTTTGTTGCATTTAAAACACACTCTACTTAGCAAACAAGGAGAATCAAAAACATGCATTTCCAAAAGTCTCCTGAGAATTTTTGAACATTTTGTAACAATTAACCTCTCGTCACAAAGTCTTTTTTATGAGAGTATGCTAATGTTTATACAAAACTAATCCAGAAGAAGTCTGTCAGACTAAAAGGTGTCAGGTGTCGCTCAACCAGGCCCTTATTCAGGACGTAAACAGAAACATGAGTGACGATGCTACTTTATATATATTCTTATATTATCGTGTTTCTGTAAAGCACATTGAGTTGCCTTGTGTAGGAAATGTTCTACATAAAAAAAGCCGTCTTGTCCATGTACTTGCTGAAAACGTGACGTTTTTGGGCAGAAAAGGTAAATAAATTACAGTACTGACACATTTTATCAAAAAACATTTAAGATGAATATTTCAAAGTCAGAATGTCATTATTATTTATTCTGCTCCTTGGTTCCTAACAACAGGTCATCACAACTGTTAACGGGAGTTCATAGACATTCCCACATTACTCCCGACCTGGTCTCACTCCACTGGCTTCCTGTGAATTTTAGAGTTAATTTCGAAATCATATATTTAAAGAGCAAGTCACCCCAAAATCAACTTTTTTTTGCTGATAAACTACATAAATGCGTGTCTAATCGTGCTGCAGACACGTGTAGTCAATAATTTGGTACTTCAGTGCATCTAAGTTAAAATTTAAATATTCTGCCTAAAACTGTCAGTGTTGTGCCGTCGTCAGGTAAAAACTCAGCACTGCTTTTGAATTTAAATCTGCCACTGCTATTGGCTAAGGGGTATGCTATGATGTAAACTGGTCCTTATGATGTCACAATGTCATTGTGAGCCTGTGTGTGTGTGTGTGTGTTTGCGTCTCCGCCCTCTCGGTCTGCCAGGCAACAGCATTTGTTGCATTTTTCAAACATGAAGAGGGAGTTGAGTAAGAATCTGGCAGGGGTTGACTTGCTCTTTAACTTTTAAAGCCGTACATGGTCAAGCACCCACATATGACTGATTTGGTGCAAATCTACACTCCCGAACGTTGCCTGAGATCAGAAGGTCAGATGCTCCTGGTGGTCTCAAAAACCCGCCTAAAGTCCCCGGGTGATGGCTCCTTTAAGGCTATGGCTCCGCGGCTCTGGAACATTCTTCCTCTCTCTCTATGTTGTGCTGATTTCTTTTGAGTGTTTAAAAAACTCTTAAAAACTTGACTTTTTAAACTTGCTTTTACATAATTTTATTGCTTGTCTTATTCTCATGTTTGTTTATTCTGTTTTAATGTGAAGCACCTTGTGGTTTTTATCTGTGAAAGGTGTTTTAGTAATAAATGTTACTTTGTTATCTAACTGTTTATGAGCATCTACGTGCTGCTGCGGGGGTAAATCAGACACAACCTGAGTGAAAATGCATTTACATCATTGTTGATGCTCAAGTGCGGAACTTGGTTATTTATATAAAGTTTGTGGGCTTGGGATAACTCACTACCCTGCAGGTCTATGGAAAAACATTTGTGCATTTAAGACATTGACAGAAAGGCTTTTTACATTACATGGAAATCTGAAAACTCAAACAATAATAATTAAACAAAAATGTTTTTATTATTTCAATTTAAATGTTATGTAGAATATTCTATATGGTCCCAAGTGTTCATTGTGGTAAGAAGCAAAATTCACTATTTTCTTTTGTGAAAATCTACTGACTGGTGCACTGATCTGCATCAATACATGAACTATACACACTGATGTTTGCTAGCTGGCTAGCTACACATAGCTATGTGCTGTTAGGACCACATCGTATAGGTAGACACACTGTGGACTGACTGGCGCTGCCTATTGGAGCTAGCATAGCAGCTGGCTGCCATCTTGGATGGGTCTCCACTCGTCCCCAGTACATTTGTTTCTATTGGGAAACGTGTTTAACCAACTAAAAAAACACTGTTTAGGATGTTTTTGCACAAAATTAGACACATGGTATGGCATGATTGTTAAAATATAAATATAAAAGATTAAAAATGAATTCTAATATAAAATCCTAACAAGTAAGCTATAAACTCAACAGTAATCCCACGTGATCTGTTTTCAGTTGTGCGCCGGTTGTTGCAACAATACGCTGCACAAAAAAATGGACATAGTTGCTCACTCTGTGTTGAGTCCAGTTGAAGTTGGAGAGTGAGGAACCCACCCAATATGGCTGCGATCATGTTACACTCTATCAAGTCAAGTAAACTTTATTCTGGACTCTTAGTCCAAATCACAAAAGTAGAAAAACATTGTACAGATAAGATAACATGAAATGAGCACAATATGACACGCTAAAGCACTAGAGACAAATAATCATAAAAAACAAAAACAATAATAACAGTATTGTGTAAATCAAGCATCAATTATAGTAACTCCCTAATCTGAAAAAGACTGTTATACCAGTGTTTTCACATCTTTGACTGGTAATGTGCAGCACTGACAAAGGTATTAGTTAGATTTAAAACAATCACATTTTTAGAACTAAATGGGACTAAAACTAAAAAGCATTTTCATCCAAATCACTAAGGGAGTTTCTCAATACTAAGGAACCTTGCCTTGATGTCTTGGTCCCACCCCGGTTGCCTATGAGATACGTCATCAGGAATCACAATCTCGTTCTTTTGGTCACTACCCAAAGCTCATGACCATAGGTGAGGGTAGGAACGTAGATCGACTGGTAAATCGAGAGCTTCTCCTTCTGGCTCAGCTCTCTCTTCACCATGACAGATACAACACCCGCATCACTGCAGACGCAGCACCAATCCGCCTATCGATCTCACGCTCCATCTTTCCCTCACTTGTGAACATGACCCCGAGATGGTCTTGGGGCAGGACCTCATCCCTGACCCGGAGAAGACATTCTATCCTTTTCCGACTCAAGACCATGGTCTTGAACTTAGAGGAGCTGATTCTCATCCCAGCTGCTTCACACTCGGTTGTGAACCACTCCAATGAGAGCTGGAGATCACGTTCTGTTGAAGCCAACAGGATAACGTCATTTGCAAATAACAGAGATCTGATCCTCAGGCCACCAAATCAGATCCCTTCAACACCTTGGCTGCACCTAGAAATCCTCTCCATAAAAGTTACGAACAGAATCAGTGATAAACGGCAGCCTTGGCGGAGTCCAACTCTCACTGGAAACAAGCTCGACTCACTGATGGAAATGCGGACCAAACCCTGACACCGGTCATACAGGGACTTCACAGCCCTTATCAGAGGGCCTGGTACCCCATACTCCCAAAGTATATTGATACTTATACTTATAAAATATAAAGTTATCTCGCATGTCACATGATGTTATTTGACCGCTGCGGAGGCCGCGGTCACGTGATGAAAGTCTGTTCCATTAAACCGCTTTCTTTGACTAAGGAAGGACAGCGTCCTCGTAAGCAAGGCGCCTGGCCTCGCAAGACTTCGCCTTGCAAGGCCAGGTGCCTTGATATTGAGAAACACCCAAAGACTAAAACTAAAATGGCTGCCAAAAACAATACTGGCTAGTTATGTTAGCTACCGTATCGAATTACAGCTACGTAGGAGCATTACATTGGGATTTTTGGTAGAAAAGGTAACAAAAAATGTATTTAAAATGTAAGATAATGTTATTTTTGCATGGTTGCTTGACAGTAGACCCCGTGTCTGAATGTTTCTGTATCTGAAGATATGGTTTAGGGAAAGGCGCTGGAGAAAGAGGGTTGGATCTGTGTATTGTGTATTGTCAAAATGTAGTTTGCCTCCCCTCTCAAATCCTGCTTTCCATTTTCAGAGGCAATATTATGCAAAAAGCCTTTTTCATGGCCATCATTGCCCTTGGTTTGATTTGGTTGATCTAAAAACTCTTTTGACTCTCCATTACAATTTTGTTTCCTTCAATAAACTAACAACAACAAATGGTTTTCAAGACAATAGATTAAAAAGAGAAATTGTCATTTTGGTAAAAAATAAATTATCCACAGATGGATCACCAGGGCTTCATCACTATAATGAGACACAGCAATTGAGATTTTACTACTACTTGCAAAATATTAACCACTTGTGTCCATTTCTGTCTAATCGCTTCATTGTTATTTTAGTAAACAGCTTGGTCAATTCTTGCCTAGATTATTGTAACTCTCTCCTTTTTGGCCAGCCACGGAAATCTCTGCATAAACCCCAACTGGTCCAAAACTCTGCTGGTCGTATCAACACGAAAACACCCTCTCTTAATCCCATCACCCCCGTTATCCAGCAGCTTCAATGGCTACCAATAAAATTCAGAGTTGATTACAAGATCTTACTCCTCATAAGACCATTCACAACCTCCTGCTTGCTCAAATCTTCAGCTTCTATCAACCTGCATAATCCCGCTGCTCGTCATGTCACCACGAGATGTCAGGCATTTAGCAGATCTCCCCTTTACCTGTGGAATTCATATGCCAGCTGAGCTCAGGAACACCACTACGCTTCACCATTTCAAGGCTAAACTCAAAACTCACCTGTTCCATTTACCTGTATCTTATGTTTGATCATTATTATAAATGTACAACTCATTTACTTTTGTTGTGCTTGTTTGATGTTCCTTTTCATTGTACAGGTACCTTGAGTTTTTAGAAAGGTGCTTCAAATAGAATGTATAATAAAAAAAAATATATATATATGATTCTATAATAATAATAATGTAATATAATAATAATAATAATAATAATAATAATAATAATAATAATAATAATAATAATAATAACAATAATAATAATAATAATAATAATTTTATATTATTGTCATCATTATTATTATTGTTATTATTATTATCTGGATCCTGAATACTTGTCCAGATAATGAGCTGGTGAGCCTCAAGTGTATCTACTGTTTTCTCCCTAAAATCCTTGATGCAGATATTGTTGTCTCACATGCACCCTTTTAGATTACTAATGTAGTAAATAAGGCGACTTATAGTTCAATTCGGATTCAGCATTCAGAGTGACTTCCCGTTTCCTTTTATTTCCTCCTCCCTTATCTTTTCTTCTCCCACGATTTAACACTTCTTTCTGTACAATCCCCATTCTGTACCTTTTGTCTCTGCAGTCATTGCTTTGTAAACAGTGACTGTCTGTTTTTAGCTGGCCAATCCTTTATTTTAACCTGAAGCTGCCCACTGTGCAAACACCTAGTCTGGACATCCTACAGCCTCGGTCTGGACCGACAGACTCAATATAGACATGATCTGCACGTCCATGCGATGTTTACTGTTTGCAGGGTAACGCATTTAGCCTTTAGCTGATCTAAATGTATTCAGCTTAGTCATTTGGACTCCTAAGGGTTTAGAAACAAAAATCCAAGTGGAAGAGTTAGACCATTGTAACCAGGACTGAGCAGGGAATTTATTTAACTGTCAGTAAAGACAACTGGATGATCCTGGACCCAACTTGAGGCTGTAACTGCTGCCGGCTTTAGCCCCATAACCATCCGACAGCATCTTAGACTGTAGAGCTTCTAAAATAAATACGTGTTGAAAGGCCTTGCCCCCCAATGGCACAGAACTGACTGTTTGGACTTTGTAAGGAAAGAAATGTAACCTTGATGGTCCTGACGGTTTCCAACATCCCTGGCAGATGTTTTCTACACGCTACAGTAGAGTGGTTCCATAACACCCTGGGGTGCTCTTTCCTTCAGAGGAATGATGAAGCTTCAGGAGGTGCAGAGGCATCAAACAGCAGCTGGCTGTGCTCAGATGCTGCAAAGAACATCCCTCATGACTGAGGGCCCTTGTCTGTGTGGCAACGACTGGGTTCTCCAACAGGACAACACTACAGAAGACAATCCCTGCTGGACAACTCTTCAAGGAGAACATCACTCTTTTAGAGCATCCTGCATGTTCCCCTGATCTACATCCAGTGGAGAACCTGTGGAAATGGATGGGAAGAGAAGTTTACAAAAAGAGGTGAAGAGCTCCACGTGTTCCCCGTGGGCTAACTCGCCTTCTGCCTCCAACAGCCTGATCATATCTGATGCACACTCTTCTTTTCTGTCCTCTGAGATTGGTTCTTCCAAACATGTGGAGGGGTCAATCTGCTTACACACACACACACACACACGATCCTTTGATTTCAGCCTTCATCCTGCCTTGGCCGGGCGCAGCGCAGTGCTGCTGCAGAATTTCAGAAGTGATGAAATCACAGAATCTGAATAGCAAATGATGGCATGAAAATGCTGGATTATTCTGTCGTGTTCTCCATGAAACGCACCACGAGCTCTTCTACGATGCATTATTCGTTTCGAATGATCTGTTGTTTACATATCTGCAGGTTAGTTCAGGCTCTAAACCTGCAGACCTTAAAGCAAAAGTGGTTTGGTGGTTAAACAGCTAAGTGTATGTTGTGCTGAGTTTTGGTGGAGTTGCACTTTTTTCCAGTGTTTGGCATGTCTGTGAGGCCAGTTCAGTTTCTTTTTCATATGTAGTAGAATAAAACCGTGACATAAGTACGATACTTTATACAGTACATAATACATGACAGACCTCGCCATCCGTGTCTCAGTGAAATAATTATTTAACAACCAATCAATTGCATGACACTTATTGTGTCTCAAAACTCAATATTTAAATATAAAATGTAACCCCCCCCCCCCCCCCCCCCCCCCCCCCCCCCCCCCCCCCCCCACACACACACACACACACACACACACACCCACACACACTGATAATTACAGAGTCCAGCACGGTTCGGCTGCTGGAGCAACCCTTTGGCTTTAAAGTAAAAAGAGCAGAGACCTGTGGTGTGTTATTTAACACTCACACAAATACCAATTATCTAATTATTTAACATTCAAAAAGTCCCTGTTTTTGCCTTTATTCACATTTAAACTATTTTCTTCTTGCAACTTTGATTCCATCTTAATTCATGTTAGTTTGTGTTTTTAGGTTAACACAGGCTAGTCTGCATCACACATTCTTTTCATTGGGTGAAATTCAGTTCAAGTGAAGTTTGAGTTTTAGTTCAAATTTATTTTTTTACTTTCAAACCATTTGTTTGTTTAGTCATCACAGAAAAAAGTAGAACTAACCTCTCACGATAATTTCAGTTTTATTTCATGGCCGCCGTGACGCACTGATGCTAAAGGCCAAACACAGGAGTCCTAGGACTCCTGGTAAGGAAACGTTTAACAGATCCTCCACCTAGGAGCCTTTATAGAGGAGGTCTTCTCCATGTCTTAGCTGTTCTCCTCCTCTGGACAGAGATCTAGACTTTCCACAACTTCCCTTTTACAGCCCTTGGTTAGTCTGAAGTCCCAGTCACGCTCTACATCGATCACACCATCTTGTTTCTGGATCATCGACCAGCGCAACACCTGTTTGTTAGCCACCACCTGTTGGCATTGTCTTGACACATTTTGCTGTGGCTTTAATCCACTGAATGAAGACCAAGACGAGGAGACGAGTAGGTAAACAAGGGTTTCCAAATAGTTTATTCTTTTATCATCACTGGCAAATATAAACTGCTGCTCCACAATTCATTGTCAAAGTTTTTCTACCCTTTTCTGAAGTGATTTATTCAGAATACCAAGTCCAAAATCTCCAACTCTTGGAAAGTAAGTGCAGAAAACATCCCATCGTTCAGAAAACAGACACTGGAGCTTTCTGAAGCGAGAGGTGGCAGGTGATGTTCATGGAGCTATGTGGTGTGTGTGTTTTTGTGTGTACTGCATGAAAGCACAACGCCTGAGACGGTCACAATGAAAAGGAATGACCTTTGTGATGCACTTTAGTATTTCACACACATCGTTTTGTTCCTGTTTTAAGGCATTATCAGCCACATTTTTATGGAGGGAGACGCTAAGAGAAACCCAAATATCCACAAGTTCACCCCTGAAGCAGAAACTGTAGTTTAAACAAGTGGCCTGACTGTAGTTTTGTTCTTCGAGAGATTCCACATCTGCTTCTCAGGGCAGATGCTGAGAGCACCGAGGTCGTCGGGTCAGGGGGGTGCGGGCGAGGGGGGAGGAGCAGTGGGCGAAGCGTCGCCCGTCTCAAGCGCACGCTCAGCCACAGCACGGGAGGCATGCTCACACACGGGCGCTTGGCAAACACATGTATAGGAAATAAACACACACACACACGCACACACACACACACACTCACACACACACCATCTACGAATGGGCAAAAGGGACGGTAATGCTCGGGGTCATAACTGATCTTTTCGTTTTACTCAGAACAAGAAACAGAAATAAAGCCTTACAATTGATTAGCCACCCAACATGCACCACCCCAGAAACTTCTCTCTGAAGACAATGATGAAACACACACACACACCAGCAGATGGCGTATTTGGTGCATCTGCCCCTAATCTTAAAAGCATTTTTCTGTAATAGTGGCTAAAACAGTTCCTCTGTGTGAAAACAGGACAGAAATAAGCAGCATGCCACACCGAAAAACGAAACAATTCTAAAACTATTTTTCCGGTTTTATATTATTTGATTTTTTTTTGTTGGTGTCTTTTTTTTTTGCCAAGCTCTGCAAGCGGTGCCTGCAGGCTGCTTGCTTTGGCACCACGCAGCTACGCCGCAGAGCTGGTGGACGTACGCCTCTCTCTGCGTGCAACGACTTGGAATGCTGACGTCTCACAGAGCTCAGCTTTTCCTGCTTCCCGAGAGCAGGCGATGGCGCAAACAGTCACCAAACATGGACACCAAGCTTCTATCACTTTTACACTTTTAACTCACCTTTTTCTAACATATTCAGATTTATTTTATTCACCTGCTCCCTCAATCCTTCAGTAACAGGGTGAGACAGCTTTCCAACAGCAAAAAGATTGAAATCAACCACAATGAACACATTTAATTTCTAGGAGCACCGTGCCGACTTCACGCTTGCCGTGGCTGTGCAAACGAATTATGGAGAAAAACTCTCAATAAACCTCACAAAGAACAAAGGCTATGACTAAATATATTTTAAATATTCATCTATATATTTAGTATATCTAATAAATACATTTGGTGATACACATAGAGATCTTTCTGAGAACTATTTACATTAAAAGAGTTACATTTTTTGCTGAAATAATAAATAGCGGTGAAGGCAAGGCAAAGGGGAGAAAACCTGTGGAGGGAACATTTTAGTGCTTTCTAACAATCGGGTCTCTAAATGCGTGAAACCCGTCTTTCTGCTTCCGGACGCCTCAGCCCTAACTCTACAGCTCACTGGCACGAACCCATCTCCTCAGAACGAATGTTCTCAGTCTCACCAGCCTTTCTGCTCTACGCAGTGGAATGTGCTCAAATCTCTCGACGGGCTTTTCCCTTCCAGTTCCACCTGCTGAGCGGGGCAGTGGAGGGGCAAACAGCACCAGGCCCAGGCACCACAGACACACGTGCAGGAAGGGGTCGACGTAAAAACGCCACCGTCGTCAGAGAGAGGCAGAAAATAAAAATAATCAGCCCTAGTCCCCCCAACATCTCAAATCCCATCACAATCTCACGCAGCACTTGTTTACGTTTGTCTCTCCTCCTCCTAGGAGTGACGGGTGTGGACATGTAGTTACAGCGTGGTGGTGAGCCTGACTGCTAAAGCTAACGGACTGGAGAAGGTACGGCTATCGGCTCCGACGGGTAACACCACACGGGCTAGTTTAGAGTCCACAAGGTCTGCTGACTTGCTGACTGACATGTTTCACAAACATTCATTCACGGGGGGGGGGGGGGGGGGGGGGGGGGGGGGGGGCTGGACAAAAGGGACAGTTTTGTTTAAAATAGCAATTTTAAGTGCAAGATACCGTGCACTGACGCTTGACTGGTGAGCGAGGCAGAAAAAAAGCTCCGCATCACGTCAGTGTCACACCTCTGAGAAGTCTCGTTGGACAGCGAGTAGAAATGGAGGTGTGTGTGTGTGTGTGTGTGTGTGATTTAAATCTCATAAGTACTTCCCATGGCTCTTAGGCATAGAAAAAGAGGCAGTGGGACATTGTGTGGCAACATTCTCTGGCTGAAAGTTGTGATTACAAAAGGACGGAAGGGCCCGGTAGGGATGGAGTGTCTTTTAAAATCCCACTCGTTTGATTGGTGCAGAGCAGGCGACACCCTTAAGACTGACCGCTGATGACTGGCTAGATGTGGGCGTGTCTGAGGTGTGTCAGTCTGAAGGACGTCAGAGCGTGGACAGTAAGGAAGCCTCGCTGGAGGTGACTGACTCGGTCAGTCTTTGCAGGGTGGGTGGGAGGGGTCTGAGCAGGAAGGAGTGGTGAGACCAACTGGAGGGGTGGTAGGGGGGGCTGTTTAAAGGCTGCAGCCCAGCTGCTCGGCCCTCTCCTGAGTGTCGTGCAGGCGCCGCAGGCTGGCGCTGGAGTAGCCCTCATCGCTACAGCTGCTGCGCAGGCTGCCTCGCTCGTCCCCTGAGTCGCTCACACTGCTGGTGCTCCACTCCAGGTCCCCCAGCAGGTAGTCAGTCCCCTCCACGTCCACGTCAAGGTCCTCTGTTAGACAAATACATCATTACTGAAGGGAAACAGTACAGTTCAGCACAACCATGCTCTAAATGACACTCGTTCCGGAGGTCCTGTTATCCCAACTGAAATACATTCAGCTGGCTTTAGCTGCCATGCTTTTATGGAGCAGTCCCTGTGCATGAGTGTTAGTGTCGGTGAACCTGCTTTCTCCAGAGCATACGTAGTGAAATTTGTGGGGGAAAAGTTTCTGTTAAAGACCGAAAACTGTAAATCAAAAGTGATTTTCCCGGGAAAACCCAGCTACGGCTCGGTGCTGTGTAAATGCTGGTCGATTCAAAAAGTCTAACACAGGAGCTTGCGTGGTGACTCACCCTGATCAGAGTCGGACTTATCGGAGGGACCGAGTGGAGCCGGTGCTGTCCATGCGGGTCCGCTCCACCCCCAGCTGCTCCAGGCGCCTCCTCAGGTGTCTCTGCTCCCGCTGAAGCTGCTCCAAGGTGTGCTGAGCTTTCCTCTCGCCCTCCTCTAACCTCTGCACAGAGAAGAAATGACGCACCTCATGAGCTGCTGCCTCGTGCGTGTGCGTGTGTGTGTGTGTGTGTGTGCATGCACGTGCATGCGTGTGGATCTACAGCAGCTTAGCTAGGGTGGTTCAGCCACAAACACCCAATACTAACACACTTCTCCTCATCAGGAGGCCATAAACAACCTCTTCAGACGCACCTTGATGTGATCTTTGGCCTTGGTCAGCAGGCTGAGGGTGGTGTGCCTGTTAGCATCTGGTCCCAAGGGAACGAGCAGTTTCAAACGCTCTAAACACAGTCGTAGATGTGCTCGTCTAGGAAATAAAAACAACTTTGCTTATTGATTTATAAAATAAAAACACAAAACCCGGATTCTGTAAGGGCTAAACTCAGATTTACACACTAACACACACGTGATAAATTCAGCCTATACTTTCAAACTGACTTGAATTTTCCGTTTATGTGCATTACAGCCAGCCTGTGTTCCATTTTAAACATGTCTGTGTGGTATGTAGGATGTATGTATAACGGGCTCTGCCACTTATTTATCAGAAAGGCTGACCTCATATTTTCTGTACTAAACAAGCAAAACCAACACATCAACTTAAACAAGGTCAAACTCTGTTTTAGTGCAGTTTGATGAATTCTAATAATAAATAAAAAACACTTCAGATGAGAGGCTGCCTGGAGGACGTGGCTCATGCAGTTTAAAGTTGGTTGGTTTATGACCAGTGATGGGAACAACGCCGTTTAAAATAACGGCATTACTTAAGGCCTTCTTTTGGTGTGGAAAGGTGGATAAACGAGGGCCCGGGTGGGATTCGATCCCCAGACTCCTGGGTGAGAGTCATACGTTCTAACCAGTCAGCCAAAGGGACAACCCCTTGGCCAAGTAGCCAGGGCACATCATCAATCGGGACAATGTGACAGGACGCTCACACTGTCACATCTTCCCCCTCTTTTCACAAACACGTCCTCGTGCTCCTGCGCAGGGTGCCACAAACTTCACATCCATGGCGATTGATCATGTGCCCTGGCTACTTGGCCAAGGGGATGTCCCTTTGGCTGACTGGTTAGAGCGTATGACTCTCACCCGGGAGTCAGGGGATCGAATCCCGCCCGGGCCCTCGTTTATCCACCTTGCCACATTGGGTAACGGAATAATCTACTTAATTACTTTTCCCACTGTTGCAACGCCATTACCGGAGATGGAAGGTTGTGTGTTACTACGTGCTTGTCGAACGTTGAGCAACAGTGTGAGGCTTTCTGACCGCCACACTTCAGCTGCAGCCAATGAGAGAGAGGTGTCGGTAACGCACTTACAAACACAATGATGATTGGTCGGGTGCGGAGACCCTCACTGTCTCAATCACTGCCTGCTGTAGACCCAACAGAGCAGTGATGGGAATAACGCCGTTTAAAATAAACGCGTTACTAAAAAAACTATTACTTTCAGTAACGAGCAAACTAATTACATAGTCTTCTTTTTATCAAAACGTTGTTTCTGTTACTGATAAGGAAATGTGTGCGTTAAGCAGCGCGGTGTGTTGAAGCTGTCATCAGCTGATCAGGAGCTAAAGAGGCAGATGTTTTCATCCAAACGCATCACGGCCCGTGAAGAACGAGGAAGACGTGATGAATAGTCTACGCCCTTCTTAGCGTGACAGCGGGACGTCCTGAAGGTTCGCTCACCTGTTCACTGCTCAGACGTCCTGATCTTCTACCTTCCTAGATCATCCAGCTGTAACCTGTTTCTGATCATGTTTAGTCCCGCTGTGCCTCTTCTAGTGTCATTTTAAAGGATTTTAATTATTTATTTAACCATTACTAGATTAGCAGCAACAGAAATGCTACTAAAAACACACAATTATGTGAAGCTGGAAAAATTTATTTAAATTATTCAGGTTTATAAAAAACATTTAGACATACATTTTCTCATGTTCCGGTCATTAGTCATTTATATTTCACTATTGTAGTACTTTATAGTAAATTAAGTAAGTTAAATTAAACCATTTTTCTTGCATTCTTTAATGAAAAAAGTAACTAAGTAGTTATTTTTCTTGGTAATTAGTTACTTTTATAATCTCGTAACTGTAAGTAACTGAGTTACTTTTTGACAAAGTAATTAGTAACTATAACTAATTACTTTTAAAAGTAACTTTCCCAACAATGTTTATGACAAACAAACACCCACAGGCATCACACTAAAATAACATTAACCTGTTTTTAAATATGAAATCATCCTTTAGTCTAAAGCACAACTGTACATTTATTTGGTCCAGCTCCTCTTTCACACTTCAGCTGTGTTATAAGTATTTAATATGAACGTTTAAAGATATATTTCAGCAGTTTGGGTGTTTTTCATAACCTAAAAATCTATACAGACAGTAGCTGAAGCAGGTGTCGGTACAGGATCTGCTCGGGTGCAAGATCGGCTCGGGGTCCTTCGACTGCCGATGACGTCAAAGTAGTTGATTGGCTGAACATGAACCTTATGGAAGTTACGTAATCACGTCACGATGGTCCAGGCAAATCTTTCTGTTGGAAAGATGGACAACTTTTACGAAGAAATCCATCATTACCTCTTTGAAAATACACTTTTAGCATAGAGCTGCATGTATATTAGGGCTGAACGATTAATTGCATGTGTAATTAAATTGCGATGTGACAAAAGGAGATTTTCTAATTGCAAAGGCTGCAATTTGGCAGCAAGTGGTTAGCGCAATGCTAATATACATGGAAAAACCCATAGGAATGCTAATGCTAATATCACTGATCACATTCTTACAAATTATGAATTAGAAACGTGCCAAATGATTACATTTGGAGTCTAATAGAAAGTAAAACTACCATCAATCAAATAAGTACAGACAGGTATTTTAGTAAAGCCAGAAAACTTTTAATTCCAGAGCTCTGGCTATAGCAGCTATGAGCGTAACTGAACTACGCATGGACAAGACGTCAAAAACTCTAAACACAAAATACTTCAATAAACGGGACACAATTATTTCCTGCAAATATAATTTCACAGGTGTTGCTAATACCTTCAAGGGATGTGCTCAAAGAGGAGTTCAACATTATGAATATAATATAGTGTTTTATTTTACAAATACCATTATAAACACAAACTTATGTCGTAAGATACATTATTTTAATAATGAAACTGCTAAATTATTTCCAACAGTATAAAGATGTGTAGTGTATTTTGTCCAAGTGGGTTTGCCGTACTTTGACGTCATCGGCAGTCGAAGGAACCCGAGCCGATCTTGCACCCGAGCAGATCTTGCACCCGAGCAGATCCTGTACCGACAACGGTCTACCATTGGCTCGATCAGCTTTGCATCATGCCAATCACAACGCTCTATCGGTTTACTGGGCGGGATGATGCAACGAAGCGGAACAACGATGGCGCTGGCTCGTTTGACACAGCTTTGGCATCAACCTTGGACTATTTAGACCTGGGCTTTCCTCTGAGTCAAGAGCAGATAGAGGTACACAAGTCCTTTATTTAGATAAAGTGTGTATTAGTGTCTTCTTCCAGTGTGATCAGTGGCGGCTGGCCAGTAGAGGGCGATAGGGCGCCGCCCTCCCAGTTTTTCCGTGTTTTTAATTTTTATTTAAAAAAATAAATAAATAAAATTAACAATAATCACATATTCTAAGTTAATTGTGTGTTTTGTAAGAAAAATAAACCATTTATATATATATCTATATTGGTCTCTGCCGGTCTCTGCCAAGCGGTGGAGGCTGTGTGCTGTTTTTCAATCGCCCAAACAGGACGAGACCAGCTGTCCAATTGCTGACAAGAAAATCAAAGGGTAGGAATGGGAATGTATCCAATCAGCGTCGACGTTGTTTCAGAAGCATGATGGGCGATAGAACTACCACCAAAGGATTCGTTGGTGTTCGGTAGAACTCGGCAGAGACGTTTTTGGTCGTGACGCAGATGTAACATGGACGCCGCCAGTGACCAGCATGGATACCGGATCTCAGCAGCCACTGAATTCAGTTCAGTCTCTTCTCCAGTATCCGTTCGAGAGGAGAACTATGGTGGAAAAACTTAATGTCAAAGAGCTTGGACCAGATCAGCCCGACGTAAAGATAAGCCAGCAGGACAAGGAGAGAGGTAAACTGTACACACGAGGCTTCTCCCGAAATTGGTACACCAGGAAGGCTTGGCTAGCTGGATGCAATCATGCTAATGCGTTATTTTGCTTTCCGTGTTTGTTATTCAAAACGGCTGGGACAGATAAGGCATGGATGAGTCAGGAGTTACAGACATGAAACATTTTTCTGAGAAGGTGAAGAAACACGAGTCATTCCGGGCACACATGGACAACAACACGGTGAAGCTAGCCATGCTAGGCAGCAGAGCTAACGTTGCCATGCAGGGAACAACAGCAGCTGGGTGCAGAGGTAAGCTGTACATTACATTTCTGTAAAAAAGACAATCAGAATCAGAAATCCTTGGTTGTCCCACGAACCGGGACATTTGTTTAATAACATGTTTAATGTGCAATAACTGTAAAAACTAATTTCAACACACATACTTATTATACATATTTAATCACGTAAATGTGTATTTCATGTAAATTTGTACATACATCAATCTGATTCCATTTTACTTGTTACACTTCTGCTGCAGCAAACAAATGTCCCTGCTTTTGGGACAATTAAACATTTCTGATTCTCAATTAGATGTTTTTACTTCAAATGTAAAAACATCTGATTGAGAATCAGAAATGTTTTATTGTCCCAAAAACTGGGAAATATGATATTTGTAAGAGGATACTGATGACATTATTTCCTATGAAAGTGTTTCCTATGTACTTATCTGTTGTTTTTTATTTATCATATGACAGGTTTTTCACACCATCCTGAGCCATACAAAAGAAGATTCTTGTCACCACACCCATGACCACAGCCGAATCAGAAAGGTGCTTTTCTACTTTAAAGAGGATTAAGACTTTCCTTGAGGAACACCACGACACAGGATCGGCTGAATGCTCTTGCCATGCTCTCCATGGAAAAAAAAGCTTGTCACAAACGTTCCTGACTTCAATAAAAAGCTAATCGAGAGCTTTGCCACTCAGAAGGACAGAAGGGCAAAATTTCTGTACAAATGAGGTATCACACACACACAAATGCATCCACTTGATCTTTGTATAACGTTGACCTTGGCACAACACTCCAGAAATATTTAACAGTGTAAATTTCTGGCATTTTGTCTAAGTGGTGTTTACTACCATTACTGTAACAGTGACCTACTCATAATTTTTTGTGTTCACTCAAATGTTGAAATTAAACAAAATGT